TGGATACATGGATGCATGTATATATGTATAAATGGATACAAGGATACATGTATATATGCACCTATTTTGATTGTTAGTATCTTAAATGGGAGCAGCCGTTTGTCCTGTTTGGTAATATTTCCTCCTTACATATGAGTGTATCATGAATATCTTACCATATTAACGAATATAATTCTATCATTTTCAATTGTGTATTGGATGCTTGCAGAAAACGTCCCCTTCTGTCCTAGCATACAGAAAAATTACAGATAAGATAATGACAGGATATTAAAATGAGCTGTGCTCCAAAATAGGAAAGGGTATCATCATGGACAGAAACGGACGCATCCCAAAGCGTTTTCTTGTTTGTTTGTTTTTAAAGTAGCAGTGAGGGGAGGGTGAAACTTTGTGGTTCAATGGGAACCAGAAATCCACACCATTCATTAAGGGAAGCCATGCCTAGGGATGCTTTGTGAGACTGAAAGGTGAGACCATGCTTCATGCTAGAGAATAGAGGCAGAAAAATAGACTGGAGTTACAGCTTGGGATGAAGCAATTGCCAGGGGCCAGGAGAATAAACAGATTCTGTCTCAAACTGGGAACTAGATTCCTGTGACTTTAAGCCTGAGGCTGTGTTAGATACTCCTACCAGTCAGGAAACCACAAAGATCATGGGATTTCTGTGTCAGGAACTGGGATCAAAGACTGAGTATTAGAACAAAGATCCTTCCAGTGCTGTCTACTAGGGTTCTGGGAACTTTATGTTGGGAACCAGGGGCAGAGATCAAATATACATTCTTGTGATTTTTCCTCTAATTTCAGTCTTGAGGTCTGTCTTTGGAAAGTGACCATAAACTGTAGCCCTCCCCTAACTGGAATCCAAGGAGTTTGGTCATGGATGTTTACAGTGTGCCTTTCGTGGGATACTTCTTTATCCTGGTGGATGGTTTAATGCCTAAGTGTCCAACCTGTGACCAGGTGTCCCTCTCACAGGAAACCTGTTTCTATTGGCAGATGCCCTTGTGGTTCTCCTCTGACTTGTGTCCAGTTTATTCTTACCCCGGTAGCCACTCTCTAGGAGAGCCCTGAGTGGGAAAGAAGTCAGGTTCCAGTGTGTGGGTCAGGTGAGACAGAGGAAGCAGCACAACAAAACATAGGAAGTAACAGAAGCAGTGTGTTACTTACAGATCCGTGAGAGAAGAGGGACGCTGAGGAAAGACAAATAGAAGATTGCAGAGGGAGGGACAGGAGGAGACTGGGGGTGGGGGTGCTTGGGGGAGGGGCCAGGCATCATCATGCTCAACCAGCAGGTGGTGAGAGAGAGGGGGAGAGAGAGAGAGAGAGAACAAACCTGTGTGCCAAAGTCTTTACTGGGGTCCAGGACTTTACTCAAATGGTTTTCCTGTGGGGAGTTCTAATTGGTGGGTTTAGAGAAAGTGGACATGAGTCTCTAGGGACCATACTGTGACTTTGCACTTAGGAGTGATCACTGTAGCATATCTACACAGTCTATGAAGTTGTGGGGTCATTGGGATGAGTCTGGTATGTTATATCTACATGTCCCTTAGGGAGATGGTTGTACAGGGCAGATATCTGGATTGACCACATGATCTAACCTAGAGCATGTTCCATGTGCGCTTGAGAAGAATGTGTATTCTGCTACTTCTGAATAGAATCTTCCATGTATGTCTGTTAAGTCTATTTTGTCTAAAGTGTCATTCATGTCCTCTATTACCTCATTCATCTTCTGTCTGAAAGTTTTATCCAAGATTGAAAATGGAGCATTGAAATCTCCTATTATTATTGTGAGGCTCTCTATTTCTCCCTTCAGCTCTGCCAATGTTTGTATCATACATTTGGGTGCCCTGATGCTGGGTCCATATTTATTTATAACTATTATTATCTTCCTAGTGAATTTATCCTTTTATCATTGAATAATATCCTAATTTTTCTGTGGTAATTTTTAATTTAAAGTCTATTTTGTCCGATGTAAGTGTGCTCTCTTTGGTTGCCATTTGCATAGAACATCTTTTCCAGCCTTTCACTTCGGCCCATGTGTGTTCTTAAATCTACAGTGAATCCTTCATAGACAGTTCCAGTGCTCCAGGTGCCTGTCATGCTTCTTGGCCTCTGGAGCTTTTGTGTAAGAGTTTTTGTGTTTCGGATAGTGTAGTTCTGCAACCCTGGCCATTGCTGGGAACCAGGTGTCTGTGACAGTCCCAAAGGCAGAAATAGATAGCATATAGTTGGATCTTGTTTGTTTTATTAAAAATTTATTCAGCCATGAGGTATGTCTTTTGATTGAGAAGTTTAATCCATTTACATTTAAATTTCTTACTTATATGTAGGGACTTTCTATTGTCATTTCATTAATTATTTTCTGTCTTGTAGCTTTTTTGTTCATCTTTTCCTCTCTTACTGTATTCCTTTGTATGTTGATTTTTTTTGTAGTGACATGCTTTGTTTCCTTTCTCATTTTCCTTTGTGTATCTTCTATAGGTATTTTATTCGGAGTTACCATGGAACTTACATAAAACATCTTATAATTGTAACAATCAGTTTCAAGCTGGTAACAATCTAACTTTAATTGTATATAAAAACTACTCTTTTACTTCTCTCTAGTTCTATACTTTGTTATTAAAATCACAAATGACAGCTTTTAGGATTGTGTGTCCTTTAACAAGTTTGTATAGTTATAGTTTTTTTAATATACTTTTGTATTTCAACTTCTTCTTCTTCTTCTTCTTCTTTTTTTTCAAGATGGAGTCTTGCTCTGTTGCCCAGGCTGGAGTGCAGTGGTGTGATCTTGGCTCACTGCAACCTCTGCCTCCCAGATTCAAGTGATTCTCCTGCCTCAGCCTCCTGAGTAGCTGGTGTTACAGGCGCCCGCCACCACGCCCAGCTAATTTTTATATTTTTAGTAGAGAAGGGGTTTCACCATATTAACCAGGATGGTCTCGATCTCCTGACCTCGTGATCTGCCCACCTCGGCCTCCCATAGTGCTGGGATTACAGGCATGAGCCACTGCACCCGGCCTTTGTATTTCAACTTCTACACCAGAATTAAAAGTGATTTATATACTACCATTGCAATGCGGAAGTATTCTGTATTTTATACATTTACTTTTACCAGTATCCTTTATACTTTCATATGATTTCGTGTTGCTGTCTGGCTTCCTTTCATCTCAAGTTGAACAACTTCCTTTAGCCTTTCTTGTAGGGCTGATCTAGTGGTAATGAACTTTCTCAGATGGGAAAGTCTTTATTTCTCCTTCAATTTCAAAGGATAGTTTTGTCATCCTCTTTAGAATTAGCAATACAAAAATAGTATTGTTGGTTTGCAGTTTTTTTTCTTTCAGCACTTTGAGTATATCATCCCACTGCCTTCTGGCCTGCAAGGTTTCTATTGAGAAATTTACTAGTAGTCTTAAGTATGTGCCCTTATATGTGATAAATCACTTTTCTCTTGCTGCTTTCAAAATTTTGTCTTTGTTTTTTGACAATTTGACTGTAATGTTTCTTCATGTTGACTTCTTTGGGATCATCCTAGTTGGAGTCTTTTGGGCTTCTGAGATCTGGATGTCAATTTCCTTTCCCAGATTTGAAATTGTTATCTATTTTTCTTAGATGAGCTTTCTGCTTCTTTCTCTCTTTCTTCCTCTTCTGTCACTTCCATTATGCATATATTGGTTCCTCTGATGGAGTCCCATAAATTCCTTAGGGAATTTTATTCTGATAAATTTATCCTTTTTACAGTTTTTTCTTTTTGCTCCTTTGATTAGATCATTTCAAGAGACTTATCTTTGAGTTCCCTGATTTTTTTCTTCTGCTTGATCAGGTCTGCTGTTGAATCTCTCTAGGAAAGTTTTTGATTCAATTATTCTATTTTCCAGCTCAAAAACTTGTTTGATTCTTTTAAATATTTTCTACCTCTGTGTTAGTGTTCTCCTTTTGTTTATTCACCATTTTCTGGAGCTAATTGAGCAACTTTATGGTGCTTCTTTTAAATTCATTGTAAGGTAATTCACATCTACATTCCTTTAGTGTCAATTTCTAGAGATTGGTTTTGTTTCTTTGATTGGGCCGTGCTTTCCTGTTTTGTCATATGCCTTGTAACAGCTCCCTCTCTCAGTCTTTATGAACTGGCTTCATACAGAGAAAGACCTTCACCAATCAGCCTGGCTAGAGACTTTAGGAGCTCTCACACCTTCTCTGTAGATATGTCTTCTCTGTCTCTGTGCATGTAAATTCCCAATTAGAAGGATTTTCTGGTTTCTTTTTTTGGGAGCATATAATCTCTTACTCCCTCTGGTGTAAGCCTCCCATACTGAAGTTCCTCTGGAACTGGAATTTACCCAAGCCTCCCAACTCAGTTTTGTCATCAACAACTTCCAGGCTTCTATAGTGTGCCCGTTCCTGTCAGAGCTTTGAGTCAGATGAGACAGAAACCAGTCTCTTGGGAAACCCCTGGAAAAGCAGTGACATTGGATATACATTCCAACTCTCCCTCCTTAGGGAGAAGCCAGGAGTTGGGAGGTTTTTTCTTGCTCATTCCATCCTGACGTCAGTTGAGTATGTGCTAGTCCAAACTTCACATTTGTTTTTTGTTTGTTTGTTTTTTGAGACAGGGTCTCGCTCTGTCACCCAGGCTAGAGTGTAGTTGCCAATTGCTACCTCCACCATGTAGGTTCAAGCAATCCTCCTGCCTCAGACTCACGAGTAGCTGGGATTACAGGTGTGAGGCACCACGCCCAGCTAATTTTTGTATTTTTAGTAGAGACAGGGTTTCACCATGTTGGCCAGGCTGGTGTCACACTCCTGATCTCAAGTGATCCACCCACCTCGGCCTTCCAAAGTGCTAGGACTACAGGTGTGAGCCACCACGCCTGGTTCTCAGTGCCCTCCTGGCTCTCTCTCGTGTCAATGCTTAGATTCAGGTAGGATAGAAACCAGTTTCTTGGGCAACCCCCCAAAAGTCTGCATGTTGGATATATGTTTCAGTCTTCTCTTTCCCTCCCCAGGGAGAAGCCAGGCGCTAAAGAGTTTCTTCCAATTACACTGCATTGAGCCGGGGAAAGGGACTATGGTGAGTAGTGCCACAAATTAACGTGGCTGATTTTGTGCATCTGGAGTGCAGGAACCTCATAACTTTTTTCAGGATTTCTCATGAAGGGAATTATTCTGTGTATTGTGGAATCAGTGTCTCCATGAGGAGAAGGGGGGTCTGAGGCTTCTTATTTTGCTATCTGGCTTGCTAGATACATAGTTTTAAATTTTCTTGTAATGTCATTAAAAAGCAGTGTTAAGCCGGGCGCGGTGGCTCACGCCTGTAATCCCAGCACTTTGGGAGGCCGAGGCGGGCGGATCACGAAGTCAGGAGATTGAGACCATTCTGGCTTAACACGGTGAAACCCTGTCTCTACTAAAAATACAAAAAAAAATGGACAGGCGTTGTGGCGGGTGCCTGTAGTCCCAGCTACTCGGGAGGCTGAGGCAGGAGAATGGCGTGAAACCGGGAGGCGGAGCTTGCAGTGAGCCGATATCACGCCACTGCACTCCAGCCTGGGCGACAGAGACTCCATCAAAAAAAAAAAAAAAAAAGTGATGTTAAAAACTTCTCTAGCAGCATCATGTAAAAAAGAAACAAGTGAAATTCGTTTTAATAATATCTTCTATTTAACTGAATATATCCTAACTACTACCATTTCAACATATAATCATTATAAAATTATTAATAAGATATTTTACATTCTTTATTTTGTAATGTTTTTAAAACACAGTGTCTATTTTACACTTAGAACACACTTTAGTTTGAATTAACCCCAGTTTATGTGTTCAACAATCACATGTGGCCAGTAGCTACTGTATTGGATAATATAAATCTATAATATAGATATCTGTAATATAGATTTACTCCTATGAACAAATTTAAAAAGACAACCATAATACTAATTTAGGGCCATTCACAAAGGAGAAAACCTCAATGACCAAAAACATATGTAAAAGTATTTTTTTTATAGATAGAGAAATAAGGTCAAAGAATAAGATACCATTTTATAGCTATTGAATTGTCAAGATGTTTAAGAGAAACAGAAGAAAATTATAAAACTTTTGGATGGTTCTTTCTATGACTGCCTTTTTTTCAAACAGAAAAGAATATTTTTTCCTTCCACTTGATATGAATCTAATTTGCATTTCTGTCCTCACTGGAAATGATGACATGATGGAATGAGAAAATGAGTAATGATATGGTTACATTAGTTTGTTTCTTATACTTACGGATGAGCCTTTATAAATCAATCAAATGTTGTTAGACTTTAGCTTTAAAAATGAAATTACTCAAATTCAGTTCATCAAGTTTTATAGACTTTAGCTATAAAAACAAAAATATGGTTTAGATTTTTATATATGAAAAGTTATTTTAGCATAGGCTTTCATTATAGTTCAAAGGATTATTTACATCTCTGAGAGATTTTGACTTTTTGGTTGTTCTGACAGGTTGATTTTAAATTTCTCTGCAATTAATTTTTATTCTCCAGCGAATTTCCATCAATCTCTCAATTACAGCAAATGATCTGTATGCAACTACCTATAGAAATCAATCTTGGGAAGAATTCCTTTTTGGAAAAACTACCTTTAATTGCTGTCAGTATGTTTGAAATTTCAGATTTCTGCAGATTGAGCGTTTTTTAGACAGCGGCTCACCTACAGAGGGTAAAATGTTTCCCGGCCACCAGCTTTAAGATCTGTCTGTATATCTACCTGTGGTTAGTCTTAGTCAAGCAGAACCATTGAGGAGAACAAACATTTTTTTGTCTATGATTGAATAAAAGGACTAGGGGAATTGCCCTTAAAATAAAGACAGAAAAAAGAAGGAAGCTGTTTTATTCCCTGGGTATTGTCATTGGAGAAGAGACCAGAGCACAATGGCCAAGCTGAAGAATGAGTGTCATTGAAGCAAGAAATCTGGGCCAGACCAGCCCGGGGCACAAGGGATTGTGGGTATCCAAGTCTTCTGAATGTCACTTAAAAGGGTTCCACCAGGCACACACACCTTAAAATGATGCTCCTAATTGTTCTTCCTTTCTTTTTTACTTTCACAAATCACAAAGATAAAGTTAGGAAAAAGCTCAGCAGGAAGAGCCAGCTGCTGAGCCTGTTATGAGAAGAAAGAGCTCGGTAGAATGCTAATTTTTCTTTATTATCTTACCCTCTACAAAAGGCCGGCGGGCAGGTGAACACTCTGCCGAGAGAATCTGTGGAGTTTTGATCAGGAGCAGCAGTCTGTCTGCTGTGATGGAATTATCTAAAAATCGCCATGAACAGAGTAGGAGAAAGAAGCAGTAACTTATGTGATTTCCATCAATTCTCCAAGGCCATATATAGCCTGCCAGTGGATTGAGGAAAGATAACAGGCTCTGCTCTCCTTAGCTAGAGACACACGGCTTCCAGAACACACGCACGTTGAAGAGAAGCAGCAATGTGTATTGTAATTATTTATGGGAAAGAAGACAGGTTTGGAATCAGGCTTCTATAGCAAAGGAGGTCTTTGCACAAGCTACTGTGCTCCATTCTCTCTCTCTCTCTCACACACACACACACACACACACACACACACTCAGAGGACCTCGATCAACTGTTCAAAGCACAGTGGTCCAGATCTGCCACTCACAAAATGCAAATGCTGATGTTGGAGAAGAGTCAGGGAATAAGGATTCCCTGTTTAAAGAAAAAGGCAGGGAGTCTGTTTTTCTGAACCTCAGATTAGGAAGACAGAAGGATCATCCATGTTTTTCTGCTCAGACCATATATCTAACCAGAAGGCTTTTGCACTGATTCTGTGTTTGACTGAAAATCATGCCAGGCAGGCCAACATTTCTTTTTTCTTTCTCTTTTCTTTTTTTTTGAGACAGAGTCTTGCTCTGTCACCCAGGCTAGAGTGCAGTGGTGCTATCTCGGCTCACTGCAACCTCCACCTCCCAGGTTTAAGCGATTCTCCTGCCTCAGCCTCCCGAGTAGCTGGGATTACAGGCACATGCCACCATGCCTGGCTAAGTTTTGTATTTTTAGTAGAGATGGGGTTTCACCATGCTGGTCAGGCTAGTCTCAAACTCCTGACCTTGTGATCCACCCACCTCGGCCTCCCAAAGTGCTGGGATTACAGGTGTGAGCCACCATGTAATGCTCGGCCATCAGCATTTCTTTGTCTCTGTGTTTCAAACAGTTCCCATGGGCTACTACCACTTTTCAGCTCAGAGAACTACCTCATCTCCAAAAGTTAAAAGTCACAGTCCCAGGGGCGCTTCAGGACAGTTACTAGTTTGTGCTTGGCCATGCACCTTTAGCGCTCAGTTCTGGCAACATCTTCTCTCCAAGCAAATTCACTGGCAGGCCGAAGGGAGGAGGTGTTGCTATTCCCTGCCTCTGCCAGTCCCAGTTAAGATCATTCATCCTCAGTCCTGCCCCACTTACAAATCAATCTTGATGGAGGTAGAAAAATCCACTGCCAGAGTGGGCAGACCAGACTGAGAGATCCAGAATTAGAACTTGCTGTAAACTCACTCACTATCCTGGATTTCCTACGCATGCCCACGGGGTCAAATATCTCCCTTGACCCCCAAGATATTGCTTACCCCTGCATAATCACTTTGCCTATTATTAAAAATGCAGATTCCTGGATCTCACCCCAAACTTATTCAATACGGGTGGGCCTGGAAATCTGTATTTTAACCGAGGAAGACCAATAGCCTATAAGAAGGGATATGATGGAAGACTAAGAACACGAGCTCTGGAGAGATTCTCTGCTCCTTCCCTTCATCTTTGTGTAATCTTGGGGAAAATTACTTAACTTTCCTCTGGCTCATCGGTTAGATGGTGATAATCACCTTCATACCATCCCCATAGGAAGGATTAAATGAGTAAACCAATTGAAAGTACCTAGAATGGTGCCAGGCCCATAGCAAGGCTTGATAAATGCTAGTTATTCCTCATAATGTAATAAGCACCTCAGAGAATTCTTAGGATCAAGTTTGAGATCCACAGGTCCAGTGTGTTTATCTTGGATTATAAATCTACCTTTTGGCCGGACACAGTGGCTCATGCGTAGAATCTCAGCACTTTGGGAAGCTGAGGTGAGTGGATTGCTTGAAGCCAGGAATTCGAGATTGCAGTGAGCTATAATTGCGCCACTGTATTTCAGCCTGGGTGACAGAGCAAGACCCTGTCTCAAAAACAACAACAACAACAACAACAACAACAAAACAAATCTGCTTTTTGCTCAGCCCTCCTGAGTCCTCCTGGGTTTGGAGCTCTGTGTTGTCCTCTCAACCTGTTTCCCTTAAACTTAGACCCTCTTGACTCTCTGGTAAATCTTTCCTACCCTTCTCTGTGCATGCTGGGAATGGGTGTCTTACCCACTTCCTTCCTGTCCTTTAGTCAGAATGGACTGGTCATTGAGAACAGGAATGCTGCTGTTGGCTTGAGGAGTATCTGCTCCCCAAACGGGGAAAAATACATTTTCTGTATTTTGGCCCCAACCATAGGAAGTCCCTGATCATTCCATATAAGTTGTCGTCAGTGACTGTTCCATCCTAGCCCAAGCCGCTAGGCTTCTCTGGGCACAGGGCATTAGGAAAGGACCCCTTCCTGCTGGGCACGGTGGCTCATGCCTGTAATCCCAGCACTTTGGGAGGCCAAGGCAGGAGGATCACTTGAGGTCAGGAGCTTGAGACCAGTCTGGGCAACATGGAGAAACCCCGTCTCTGCTAAAAATACAAAAGCTAGCTGGTCTTGGCAGTACCTACCTGTAATCACAGCTACTCAGGAGGCTGAGGCACAAGAATCTCTTGAACTCAGGAGGCAGAGGTTGAAGTTAGCAGAGCTCATACGGCTGCACTCCAGCCTGGGTGACAGGGTAAGACTCTGTCTCAAAAAAAAAAAAAAAAAGATAGAGCCCTTCCCTTAGGGATCCAACCTCAGAGTGACCAACAGTCTAATTTTTCCCAGGACTGTCTTGATTCTAGCACTGAAAGTCTCGTGTCCCTGGAAATCTCTCAATCCCAGGTAAACCAGGTTGATCGGTCACCA